TTTTTCAACGTTTTTTATTTATTTTTGGGACAGAGAGAGACAGAGCATGAACGGGGGAGGGGCAGAGAGAGAGGGAGACACAGAATCGGAAACAGGCTCCAGGCTCTGAGCCATCAGCCCAGAGCCCGACGCGGGGCTGGAACTCACGGACCGCGAGATGGTGACCTGGCTGAAGTCGGACGCCCAACCGACTGCGCCACCCAGGCGCCCCTCAGTAGTCCACATCTTAACTGCCCTCGCGGTCATTCCGACCTAACTCAGGAACTTCAGTGTCTGTAACTTCAGTTCTGATGTAACCGAAAACCACGGACAGCATGGACCCTCTAACTCACTGCTGATTCCTGAGAACTAGGGGCTGGAGGGCCGCATGGCCTGGGGCCAGTGGTTTTGGCCTGAGACCCGAGGCCCGACTTCCAGTCCTGGCGCTGCTCCTGTGTGTAGGATTAAGCGTCCTGAGCCTTTCCTGTTCTGCCTCGAAGGGAGGGAGGCCAGGCTGAGGGAGAGGCCAGGAACGCCTTCCCGCCCAGGATCACAGCCGTCCCCAGCTGTGTGCCCGTGGGTAACTCACCTAATTGAGGATTATCTTTGTTGCCTCTCCATAGCATCTGGGGAGTGAAGTATTAATTTGGACGTGCTTACAAAACGTCCAGGTCTTGTTTCATGAACTTGCAGGGAGAAAACCGGGCACAACAATTTTTTACTCAGTCAGCCTCGTTTCCCGTATCAGGTGCCACCAGATGGACGACTTCGGGCCTGCCAAGAACCTCATGACCATGTGCTTCACCTACTACCACATCGGTAAGGCCCAGGGACGCGGCGGCCGTGGGGACAAACGTGGAGACCCCAGACTTGTCAACCTGTAACGTGACAGCAAGTGAGGGTTTCCTCCCGATTAAAGGCAAAGGCGTGAGGCTTCCAGAAAACAATCGCACCTGATGAGTGAGATTCCTAAAACAGGAGAAGACGCGGTCTGTGTCGAGGGTCATGGTAGGGAGGAGACCACCCAGCAGCTCGGGGGAGAGAGAATAGGTTCGTTTGGCGGGACGTTGCTATTCGGGAATAGCAGGATGTGAGGACATCAGTTTCATGTTTTAGCAAAATGTGAGGTGGATGGCTGTTGAAGAGAGATGGGGGGAGCGGGCCAGGGTCTTAGGGAGGAAAGCGTCCCTGGGTGTGGGCTGGAGAGGCCCTCACGAAGAGTGTGGGTTCTTCTTCATCCCGAGATCTGACAGCTCTTCTGGCTCATTGCGCTAGAACTTTCTGGTAATCGGAGCTCGAGGCTCCCTGTGTGAAGTTCCTTGGGCATGACAGAGGGACTCGTTCAGGCCGCCGTAGGCAGAAGGCCACTTGGGGCCTGTGTGTGGACCAGAGCCAGGTCAGGGCAGCGCTAAGCCTGGCCTCCCTTCCCACCCCCCCAGGACACACGGGTCTGCTCTCGTGCTGTAACCCCACGTCCTCTGCAGCGTGGCTTCGCCCTCTCTCCGCTCCCAGCTGCCCATCCTCGCCATGCGTCGCTTCTGCTGGCGACAGCTGGTCAGGCGGCCTCCGCTCGAGGCCAGGCCAGCACTGGGCGGGCTCTCCATCCACGGGATCCCCTGGTCCAAACCGTGGCTCCTCCTTCTCAAAGAACAGCGGACGCGGCTCGTCTGAGTCACATCTGTGCACAGAGCAGCTTACATTAGTAGGGGACACTCAGCACCTTAGCCTGAGGGGGCACTTTGCCCCAAAGTGGGTATCTTTGACTGAGGTAGGGTCTTGATCTATAGGCGTGCCTTGACCCGAAGGGGGCAGCTGGACTCAGAGGAGACCCTTTGGCCTGTAGGGGGCGCCTTGACCTCGACTAGACCCTTTGCCTGTAGGGGATGCCTTGACCTGCAGGAGACCTATTGACCTGTAGGGGGCGCCTTGACCTCTGGTAGACCCTCTGCCTGTAGGGGGCGCCGTGTCCTGCAGGAGACCCTTTGCTGCAGGGGGCCTTGGCCTATTTACCGTCGTCTCCCGGGAAGCCACGCTCCTGGTTCAGGCCCTCCAGCTTCTTCGGGGCTGGCTCCTCACCTGTTTCTTTTAGCCCCTGTGTGCCTGGCTGCCCTCTCGTACACAGTAGGCGTCACCCTCCGCCTTCCCGGGCGTCTGGGGGCCTTTGCGTGTCGCGGCCGCCGCCACAGAACGGCTCCTGCCACGCAGTGTGGTTCCATCCCTGCCCCCTCCCGCCTCTCCCCCCTCCAGGCAAGCCGCAGCTGCTGCCCCCCGAGTCCAAGGAGAAACCCGCGGGGAGCATCGACTCCTACCTCAAGTCCGCCAACAGCTGGCTGGCAGAGAAGAAGGACATCGCCGAGCGGCTGCTGAAGAACACGTCGGCCAAGACAGAGAACGTCAAGGGCTTCTTCGGGGGGCTGGAGACCAAGCTGAAGGGACCCCTGGTCAGGAAACCAGAGTAGGTGTCGCCGGGTGTGCGTCCCTCTGGGACCCACGGCAGAGGGCGCGTTCGGCCCGCCAGTGGCGGTGGCGGGGAGGCCCTGGCCTGGCAGGGGGGGGTCTGGTGACCTTGGGGGCCTGCCAGCCGCTCCCAGGAAGCGTGGCGGCCGGCCCCGTGTGAGTCCTCACCCCGAGTTTTCTGTGCTTTGCAAATGCCATTGGGTTGGCTGCTGGGCAGAGGTGTCCCCTGGGGGACTGATGGGGAGCGTGCGGAAACTGCCTGAGGGCAGGAGCGGGATCACAAGCCCTCTGGTGAGGGTCAGTGGGCGGTGGAGAGACCACTGTCCCCGGGACAGCTGTTCTCCCACAGGAGCTTGGGAGCCTTCTGGGTCGGGACACTTGAGAACGGGGTGTCAAAGTGAAGACCTCCCAGGAAAGGGGGCACGTCAGCAAGAGAGTGCCCGGGTTCCCGGTGCCCGTCCACCCCCTGCAGTCCCCACTGTCACCTCCGATGGCGGGTTTCCACCATGACTTGGCTCCGTTCCTCGTCTGGTGCAGGCAGCTTTGGATTCAGAGAAAATGGGGCAAGGTAGCCTAAATGCCGCATCTTAATTCTGGAAGATGGGCAATTGGTAAACGTAGGGTTGCTTTAATGACACTTTTTCAGAGACAGTCGCAGTAAACGTACCCATCGCTTACAAGACATAATCCGGGCTCAGCAGTGTAGAGCTGAGAAAATGTGCAGGGGGTCACTTTGTCACCGCTGTGGTGTCTCTCCCCCAGGGAGGAGGAGGGCAAGCCCAAGGAGAAGCCGCAGAAGACCGGTGAGTGCTCCCGGCGGGGGCCCGGGTGTGGCCACCACAGCGCCCCTGGTCCTGTGACC